AAATAGACATACTATATGAAAAATTTACTCTCATCTTCCTACATTAGACAATTGCTTACAACCCTAATGCTCTCAAGAATATATTTACGTATTTTGGTTTCACCAAATTTTAAATATGTTTCAGTGAGTGGGGGTTTTGTGTGGCCTGCCTCAAAGGAATGAATTCTATAGTGTGTTGTAAATAAGGATGATGTCTTTTATGGTAAGTGTGGTTGAAGAGGTGATGGTGAAGACCATAAATCTCTAGGTGTTAAGTACTAATATCTAACTCCATGATCAGTTTAACCTTCATGTTCTAAGCTGAAGATAACAAAAAGACATGAACGTTATGGTAACATCTGAACTAACCTAGAAGGTAAATACACCTCCATAATATCATTATGAAAATGAAAATATAGTTTAATTAAAATTTTCCTGTTTTAGGTCAGATGGAGAGAGGTTTTGTTTTGTGTTTTGTTTGTTTTTATATATACATACCTTAATACTGGTCCTGCAAGTACTAGCAAGCAAGCCTGCTTAGAAAATCTGAGTATTGTCTGTACTCATCTGGAGCACTCTGATCAGACAGAGTACATGTGGGACAGCATCAGGTACCCATTATATATCTTTTGTATAGGCTAGCTCCTAAATCAATATTTTTACCTTGGTGGTAGTTCATCTTCTCAGGAATTGGAACTCTGGAAATGGGATTTATGCTTGTCTTTGTAGCCAGTTATCCAGCCTGTTGTTCACAGAGCCAGCCTCATGGACAATGACTGCTTCATCTGGGAAAGAAAAATTGCACATGGTAAGTATTCCACAACAACTATGAAAATGCTATATCCTAAAATAGGAGTGATTTGATTTGGAACATTATTCATAAAAAGTTTATTTAAATTTAATTTTAATTTTGTTTTTTTGGGGGGGTTTTAGGATTTTTTTTTTTTTTTTGGGGGTGGTACTGTGTCATCTAACCAATTCAGTATATTGTTCCTATTTAAAAAAAACAAACCACAATGAAGTGAGTGTTTTATTATGACCACATAAATCAACAGGATTTATCAGCACAATTTAAAGCCTGAATTGTTAGGATCTGCAGCACAGGTTACTCTTTCTGATGAGGCAAGATCAGCAGATAGCATGGGATGGCTTTTGCAGAGGAGATGAGAGGATTGATAGGTAACCCAAGAATGATGTTTTGCAATGAAAAGAAATTTTAGCTCCAAGGATGTGTAGAGCTGCCAGGATATGAGGATGCAGCACCTTATACTAGGTCCACCACACACAAAATATAACTTCCCCTCAGATACCTGATGTTCTTACCACATGTTGCTGCATTAGTGGTAGAGTCCACTCATGTGGCTGTGAGCTTTGGCTGGTGACCTTTAATCACAACCACACCTAAGGGAAGCAGCAATTTACAATTGCTTTTATAACCCTGTCATGGGGTTATAAAACCTCCTGTTGCTGGAGGATGGTGGAACCAGAGAGATCCTTTCTGCCAAATATCAAAGGCCTGTGACAAAAAGAAAGTCTGCTCAAAGCCATAGCTGCAGACAAGAGCAACAGGGATTGTAAGCAACCTAAACATATTCACTGCTACAAGTTTATCCAGTGAAGTACATGAAGAACACCTTTAGCTACAGTGTAGTCTTGTTTGCTCTGGAACAGCTCACAAAGAGCATTCACAAACACTGTGGTGGAAGTGTCAGGGCGTACAAAAAGGGTGCCAAGTGACAGGGAGGCTCATCCAGACCAGTATCTCATCTAAAGGAAAACTCATTCTTCTTCCCCTTAGGATATTTGCCCTAAAAGAAAGTGGGTGAACTCTTCCTTTCAGTGCTGTTTTATATGACTGAAGGATAGTGACATCCCCAGTTTAGCCAAAGTTTTTCTCACCTGTACAGCTCTGTGTTGGTTTTGAGTTCATTCCAGTGAGGGTACCAATGCCTCTTCCTCACTGGCTTGCAAGTTCCTTCCTCAGTGCATCCTGTCAGGACTAAGAAACTTTATGGTTTGATAGTTTTGAGACTTAAACGTGGGCTGCCATTTTTTCTTACAGTCACCTCAACTGATCAAATTGATCCTTATCAGCTTTTCTGCAATTATCTTGAAGCAAACTCTGCAGCTCAGCTAGAAACTAGTATTCTCTTTTGAAACTTGACAGTTATTACATATCAGACCTGAATTTACCATGTATCACTATCTACAGTCTCTTCCAGAACTTGTTTCTGTTACAATGTGTGTAAGAGCATGGCCATACTGCGTAGAGTACTTACTAAGAGACTGGCAAATAGAAATGTGATGCTGACATTCCTAACAGTATTCCTTAATCTTCCAATTATTTAAAAAGCTGACATCCTTGAAGGGATGCTATGACTCAAGATCCAACACCAACATTACTCAAGTCCAACTGGTGTCACATGAATTCTTTCCTCACCCTGCTCGGGCCAACAAACCAACATTACTGGTTTCCATAATGCAAAAGCCAGCGCAGAGATTTCTTAAAGGAAAGCTGTTGTCCTTAAAGTCTTACAAAAACTTCAGCAACTTGTTTTCCCACACAAAGAAGTGGTAAAATTATGCAAGAGCTATAAAATTAATATAATAAAAATACTGTTCCTGCAAAATATTATAATTAATTTTTAAAATTATTCTTCACTATTTAAAGATGAACTGGGTTGGTTCTGCCATAATAAGGCAAAAGGCTCTGACTTTAGAAAGTGATGGAATTCAGCAGTGGGCATATTCTTGGTTTATGTTTACCATTTAGTGTATAGCACAAACTTTTTTTATCAAATAACTAAAAAATTTATATATGGCAAGCATTATGCTATTAATTTATCTTAAGTCTTTATTGTAAGTCCTATGACAAAGCATATTTTTGCATGCAGACTAGTAATTCATACTTGTGTGCTTGTAGAGACTGCTGTTAATAAGGTCTACCTGCCTACATGGAAGTTTTTCATGCACAATAGAGTTTCACAGAAATATGGAACCCATCAAATTACTACACATAATCTGCCATGATGACGTAAATATGTGGTCTCTCCGTGAAAAATGAAGATGTTTTTCACATTTCTTTACCTTAGGCACCTGAAGTGAAATCACTCATGTAAGGCAAATGACTGGTGTATCTCACTAGGAGAACTCAAACTCTCCTCCTTCATTATAGAAAGGCAGAGAGAGTCCAGACTCGCAGACTGGACACAGAGTGATGGTAAAAATAACACCCACTGTTACTCACTCCATGGTCCCAGCGAAAATATCTGCCCTGGTGTGATTATGACCTTTGTATGTTTAATTGCATATGTTCACAGGTTTCCTGCATCTGTCTCATGCCCAAGCTAAAGCCTTTCAACATCCTTGCTTTACAGGTGAGCCTTATTGCCCAGTACCTTAATTAGAGCTTTATATCTACACATACACAACACAGCTCTTGGCATTTATCCTTAGGATTTTTTTAAACAGAACATCTACTTTCAAGAAAGAAGTACCTTTGAAAATATTTCAGGAATTATATAAATGTAGGTAAAAACCATACCCATTTTATTTAATTTTAAAGTATTTTCCTATGTCTAAAGCTAAACTTGTAATTTCCACTCCCTCTACAGTCAGTCAAGAGCAATACATCTCCCAGTGGTGTATTTTAAATGAGTTACATTCTGGACATGCCTGATTCTTTGCTCTGGCTATTGAGGGAATCTACATAGCTAGGTTAATGTTTAAATGTCTACAGTTAGGTTAGCTAAATCTCACCATAGAAACTTACTAAAAGAACAACTTGATTATTTGAAAACTCCCTGAAGCAGCATGATTAGGAAAAGTGTTCCCAGAGCTGTGCTAATCTCTGTTGAGCATCAGTTGGGTTGCAAAAGCCTTTGGTTTTCTGTCTCTGTAGTGGAGCCAAAAATAAAAAATGATCATCAAAAAATTATGCTATTTACTTCTCCTTATGAAAAAAATTTTAATTGAACTGATACATATCTTTCTAAATTTATTGTCAAAAGTTTGCAGCCAATTTTGACTTGCTCTCATCCAGGGTTTAAGGAACTTCAAGCGCACAAAGCTCAGCCAAAACTCACAGAAATACTTCAAAGAAAAAGGGCATTTGCAGTTTTTCTCATGCAGAACAAAGACTACAGAGATAAAAAATTATTTGTTTGTTTGATGAGTTCTTTTTTAACCATTGCTTATCTGAGAAATCGCAGCTGAAGATTATAAGGTCCTAAAAGTAGGTGAGGTGAAGGTAACTGCAGAGTTTCATTTTTGTTGGAGTCTAACTTCATCAGATAATGATTTTATCAGTGGAGGGTTGGCCTTTGTATTCTCTTTGGCATCTACAAGATTATGGAGTTTTAGCAAGAGACTTTAGGTCTTTATAATTACCAATTCCACACAAGACAAACACTAAAAATACAGCTAGCCAGGTGCTTCAAAGCCTGCAACCAGGATGATTTGGCTGCTTCCAACGCTTTTGTGACCTGAAGGCTGTAGGCAGTTGTTCCAAGGCCAAAAGACAAAGGTGCCAATGACAGCACCTGCCCTATATCACTTGTTCTTGGTCAGCACCTGCAACCCTTCTCAGAGCACCTCAGCCCTAACCTAACCTGTGCCTGTTTTGGGGTGAGCTCTGTGGTATTTTTGTCTCCTTACCTGAAGGAACTAGTGAGACAAAGTGACAGCTAGTAAGAGACACAGGGACAAAAAGTTGCATAACATGACTGTATTGTATCACCTCAGCCCTTTGGAAGGGTGCGCATATGATGTGAGAAGCATAAATCTGAACATTTTCTGCTCAAACTGATCCCTCTTAAACATCTGCTGCTGCTTCCCAGATCCCACGTGGGAGACTTAGCATTACTCACAGCTTGCTAATCTGGCAACACCACCTCAGGGTCACTGGAAAGGAAGAGGGAAGAAAGAAACCTCTGTGTGTGAGTCACCCTTTTTTTGCCCAGCCCTCACCTTTCATGATAAAAGCCCTGCAGCCACTAACACCTGGGTTAGAAATCTTCACAATGCAGCCCTACTTCAGCATATGTGCTCTTCTTATAGTGACTGTTACCGTGAGTCCAGCAACTGCTGCAGCATGGAGTGAAAATGATGCCACTGGAGAAGAGGTCTATCCCCCTCTGTGGGACCTTGCCCATGAAAACCTGCTAGATTTCCCAATAAAGGGCAACAAAATCATCATCAATGCTTGGAACTATGTAGAACGACTGGGAATGTATAAGGCCTTACTGAAATCTTCAGCCAAATATTTTGCCACATTTGGATCCCAAAATTCTGGCAATATTCTCTGGGGATTACCATTGCAGCATGGGTGGCAATTTCATACAGGTATGAGTTATATCCTTCAGATGCTGAAACAGCAGTGTTTACTAGATCTGCTCTGGGCCATCCTTTCCAAGATTTCTGCCTCACAAGCTTAGAATAGCTTGATGTAAATTTTGTGATGTAAATTTTAGCATACTGAGCTAAGCTGCCAATTTAATAGCAATTTAATAGCAATAGCTATTAAACTTCCTAAGAGGAAAAAGTGTTGCTATGCATAGAACAGGTCAGAACCCAAAAGATCTGTGATTTAAATGGGCAATACTTCAGTTAGCTGAAGATCTTTGAAAATATATTCCTAGTTGCTCTCATTTATAGTAGGTAGATTTCAAGGCCTCCACTCTGTAGTGCTGTTCTTAAGTTGTTAACTAAGAGTCTTTTTTTTTTGGTTGTTAATGTTGTGATCTACTGTTGATGGTTTGAGTTTCATGACTTAGTTAAAAGTCCACAGCTCCCTCTGAGAATGTTTCCACTTAGGAAAGTGATCCATTTAGGATCATTATTTTTTAAATGTGTTTTTTACAGAACTTAGTTCTGTTTGATTTCTTTGTTTTTAAAATTATGTCCAACTACTCATGGTTATTCTCTGGGGCAGTCATTCTTGTTTGCTTGTTGGCCATACTGGTGAAGTACACACAGAAACAACTCTGATAGGTCCCTTGAGGCTAAGGCTGCAATATCTTAAAGGGCTTTTTCAGATAATGCATTCTCCCACATGCTGCTTAACACACAGCTGGCAGTGAAGCTTTCCGTTCAAAGCCAGACTCGACTTGTCTTGTTCTGGCAACCAATACAGGTGGGAAGAAGGGAATAGGAGTCAGTAATGTTTTCAGAAACTGGTGCCTAATGGTAAACAGGCATAGCAGATGCATCTAGCTGCTTGTTGTTTTCTTTAATTGGTTATAATCTTTAGTTTTGTGAGGTGGGGATTTGGTTCAAGCTGTATGTTTGAAGGAAGCCAGAGGTGCTGCCACTGGTGGTGAAAGAAGGCTGCCAGCACATAGTCACACCTAAAGGAAAATTACCCAAGTCAAAATGAAAAAATGGAGGAAGAGTAAGCAAAATCTAAGCAGACAACTAGCTGGCTAACACACAGCAGCAGGAAGAACTTGGCTGGAGTTTAGGCAAGCTTTTTCCCCTTTTCCTTCTTTATGTATAGGAAAAAAAAAAAAAAAAAAAAAGGAAGGTGAAGGGGATGACTGGTGCAGCAGAAGACTTCAGCCAGTGTGTGTCAGATGCAAAGATGACTGGATGCAGAAGCCACACTTGAATGGTGACCTGCTGGAAAGAATCTAGTTACGTAGCATGGCCCAATCCACAAAGTAAAGATGTGCCTGGTTGTAATGACAGTTCCCAAATAGACATGAGGGACACAGTAGATGAGAGGAAGATTTGCACCTGGTTGCACAGACAGATAAATACTTATTCTCAGCTGCAAAAGAGTCAGAGGACTGGTCCTTAGACAAGGAGATGTACTTTTGAAGTTATATGATCATAAAGTTAAAAAAAGTAGTAGAAGGAGAAATGTCACATGTCTGGAAAGATTTACAGTGAAAAATGTGAGAAGCTAAAGGACAAATGGATAAGGGGGTGTCAAGGTTTAGAGTCAGGACTGCCCCTAGACCTGTAACAGATGCTCTGTGTTAACCCATTCCCCTTCCCCAAGGGGGAAGAGAAAGGGATTAAGGGAGAGAGACTTACAGATTAGAAAAGTGAAACAGCTTTAATGCTTCTGTTACTAATAATAGTAATAATAATTAAAAAATTAAATATATGCCAATATATAAAAAACAGTATCAAACCCAACCCCCCCCAATGGCAATAGGTCACCATCAGCCCCAATGCTGTGGAGCAGGCCCTGGGGAAAAGTCCCAGGCTGGATTCAGCCACAGAGGGCAGCTGGGTACAGGAGCTGGATTCTGGAACTCAGTTCATGAACATGTGGCTCAGGATCAAAGGCAGAATGGATGAAGTCCTCCTCAGATGCCAGCCACTGCAGGAGCAGCAAAAGCAAGCCAGAAGGTGGAAGGGAGGCAGAAGGGCTTGACCATGGTGATCCTTCAACTTTCATACTAAATATGAAAGATATGGGATGGAATACCCCATTGGTGAATTTAGGGTCACTTCTCTTGTCCAATCCTCCCTGCAGGTACAACTTTTACCTTCTGTCCCCTTCCATGTGATACACAAGATTTAGCAGTGACCTTGGTCTGCACACCAATCCTAGGTGGTAACTCTAAACACAGAGCATTATCACTGCTAGAAGCAGACACTCTCTACAAAAATATGCTGCTAGCTTCAGAAAGTGCAGTTAGAAGAGCTTTAACTGAAAAGTAAAATTACTAAACAGAATTAGTTTTGTTCTACTCCAAACCAGGAAAGAAAGATATCATTTTGCAGCATACAGTAATGAGGTTAGCCACTGGTTAAACCTAATTCAGATAGGAAGCTGGCTAGATTAATGAGGAATGAGTAGAGCATTTGTATTTCAACATAATAAGCTTGAGCAAACAAAAGAAAGATTTGAGTTCATGGTGGGTGCAAGACAGCAGATCCTTAAAAATACTACTAAAATTGTTGAATTAACAATTATGTCTGATCATGAAAGTTATGTTCCTAGGAAAATATTTTTATAGACACGGTCCTATACAAACCAAAAAAATGCAAATGAAGTTGTTAAGAATGGTACAAAGATTTGCAGTAACTACTCATGGACTTTAAATGAAATCGATAATCTGCCTAAATCTACAGTAGAGACAGTGATGTTGAGACAGCATGGCTGACAGGAATGAGATTGTGGAAATAGAAATTGTCATTTGGGAGACAGAGCTAAACTGAGAATCCTGCCTTCACAGACTGAGGAAACTGGATAATTTCTACCCCCACTTGGAAGAATTTACATAAAGAAGTACAAATCAAGGACCAAGAACCTAAAGAAAGATTCAGGTAGTGTTAGATGTCCAAAGAGTAAGAAAGGTTGCACCTATATTTAAGAAGGAAAAATGGGATAAGGACAAAAAACCCTCTCTCTTACATCAGCAGCAGGTGAGACATTAGAATATGTATAGAAGAAAGTATTTGAAGACATGAAGGTAAATATAAAAAGGGATAAAACACAGTTTGTGAATCCAAGATAGATTGTGTCAGACTAACTTGATATCTTCTTTTATAATATAAACGACATTTTACCAAAATCCAGAAATGTGTTTCCTCCCTTTGTAAAATCAAAGCATTACATGAAAGCTTTTAATGATGCTTTACAAAACAATGAAAAAGGGAATTGCAAATCTAGCAAAGGAAAATCTGAAGCAGAATTTAGTAGCTAGTGTTACTAAGGGAAGTTTACAGCTAAATGGAGGATATGTTCAGAGTTCTTCAATTACAATTCTTGAAAACAACTGCATTTAGCTTTTCAATTAACAATCTTGACACAAAAAATAGCAAATCTTGCTGATGAGATTGCAAATAGTTGCTAATGACATACAGCTGGGAGGCACTGTCAATACAGAGAGAGACATAGATAATTTGGGTAGACCCAAAGACTGAAATAACAATCATGTTAGACACAAGGAATAGTGGGGACCAGAGAATGAAACTGGAATGTAGACCTGGAAGTGGGACTAGTGCTTGCAGCTTTGAGAAATTTATACACGTTTTAGAATTATCACCAGTGCTGCCGAAGACTATTCACTTTTTCAAAACACCTAGGCTAACACCTTTGGTAAATCCCATGTACAATTCTGCAACATTTTGTTGTCTTTCTTCTTTTCCTTTATCTTTCTGTTTGTCCTCTTGGTACACCAGTAAGCTACTGCTGCCTATTTCTGACATTCTGTGTGGAAGTGGAAGCTTAAAAAAATATGCCTGTATACATAAAAAAAAAACCAAACACTTCTCACTTAAAAAAATATCCTGTTGAACTGCATTCCATGGCAAATTTATTCTCAGTGCTCTGCTACTGAAAGATAGAGGCTTGAGCAGCTAACAGGCCCCAAAGTACAAGCTCTGTCCAGTCAGCTAGAGAGGATAAATAACTAGGATAATGCATATGGCTCATGATCATCTCTTCTTCAGAAGTATCAGAAAATCTGGTTTGTTTTTCACAACTAAATCCCATTACGTTCTTTAACTGACAGAAATGGCACTGTCATTATTCAGCTGGTTCTTCAGGGCAGAGTTCTGGAAGAGCTCAAGTTATTGGATCTGACTATGGTAGTGAGTCCTGACTCACCACATGACTAATTACAACATAGTATATATTATGCTTTCAGGAATTAGGCTGCTTCTACATGTCACATGCTTAAAGTAAAATATGTCTTACATGCTGTTACAAGTAATTATGAAATGTCTTGCATGTTTGCTACAGTATAGATGCCTGAAAAACCTGCTAATCAGGTACATCAATATTTGCATGCTTAGCTTCACAGTAAGACCATGTTGGTATGCATCATTAAACTGAAAGGGATTCTGTATCACAAAACCTAATTAGGTGAGACAATTGCTAGCACATTTAATTTGTGCTATTCTGCTCATTAATCAGCTCTCCTACACTAGCAGCTCTGCATCTATTGAAAAATGATGCATCAGCTATGCATGTGTTTGTAAGTATATTTATACTTCTATCTCCATAAAAACTATCACTCTGATATCCTACTTTCAGATAGTTCCATAAGCTCCCAGAATACATTTACAGTAAGGAATAAATTGAACTGTAAAATGCAATCAAATTATTATGCACTTCATGAGGTATTGACTGAGAAATTCAACTACTCTAGGAAATAGTTTATGAAGCAAAGCAACAGTAATTGCTCTGCTTCTCTGAGCAAAACTCTGCATGCTTTAGTCCTTTGTTTTTACCTTGGTGGGATTTCTTGTATGAAGAATATTTATTTGGTGTATTATTTCTTTTCATTCAGGAAGATTGGCAGATCCTTCCCATGTGACTTCCTGTGGCTATAAAGATGGAGACCTTCTATGCATATCTGTAAGAAGCTGGTGGTCTTGTAAGTATATACTATTATACTGCTCTTTAAAATATGATTAGTATCCTAGAAGGCAATTTAGAATCTTTCTTCCTGTTAGAGTTCTACATTACAAGATAATTTCAGTGCTACATAATTCTCTTTCAAAAACTTGCAGCAAAACACCTAAGTGTTGGTGAGCAAATATAAGTTAATTGACAGCTTATTTGAGGAAGGAAAAAAATACACATTTGTAGCCTTAAGAATGTTTACAGCATAAAAATAAGTGGCAAACACCATGACATATGTCTATATTTGTAGACATTAGAATAATTAGAAATTAGTTTTCAACTCATCCAGAGCAGGTTTGTTCATCTTAGACACTAGTACTTCAAACTAAAAGTGTGAGAATGTCAAGCAAGAATCATTGTGGTTCTTTCTTCTCCATCTGTATTACTCTTTTGCTGACTGCATACCCCAATAGGAAGGACACCATCATCAACAGGAAGCACAAGAGCCAGAAATTTCCCTCCCTTTCTGAAGTATACAGGAAGAATATGAAATGGCCAACAACCAGAGAAATAAAGCAATCAGTGGATTCACTCAGTGTATGACAAAGCAAAGAAAAGAGGGAACCAAGTAAGAAGCCAGGTCTTTAGCCCAATTCCAATTATACAATAATTGTTAAGAAACAGCATCATTACATACATGACCCTCTTTCTGTCCTGGTAGTGGTGGTGTCCCATGATCACTGGGAGCTCTGCTTGTAACAGAGAGTCAGGAAGCTCTTCCACCAACAGGAAACCCTCCATAGCACACTCACTGTAAGCAAAGCCGGCCTTTATACTGTTAACTTTAGAGGCAGAACACCTGGTGTTAATTTCCTAATTGGTTTTCACCCAAGGTTGACCAGGCCTTGAGAGAAAACCAAGACGGTCTTTCCTGCCTGGTTATGGACATCATCTGTATGTCAAACTTGATTCAGGACTAGGGATTTTGACCTCAGCACTTCAAATACAAATCTGACAGGACTTTTCTGCCTTCAGCTACACCTTGACAACTTCACTGTTGTCAGTAGGCTACAGAGAATGAAATAAAAGGAGACTGTGCCCATCAATATGCAAAAAACTTCACAACTGAAGAGAACCTACAGGAAGGCTAGAGGGACTTTTCACAAGAGTGTACAGAGACAGGACAAGGAGAAATGGGTTTAGACTGAAGGAGAGAAGGGTTAGACTGGATCTTAGGAAGAAGTTCTTCAGTACAAGGGTGGCGAGACTCTAGAATAGTTTGCCCAGAGAGGTTGTGGATGCCCCCTCCTGTAGGTGTTCAAGGCCAGGTTGGATGAGACGTTGAGCAACCTAGTCTAGTTAAGAGGTGTCCCTGCCCATGGCAGGGAGGCTGGATTAGATGATCTCTAGGGTCCCTCCAAATCTAAGCCATTCTATGATTCTATGATTATCTTCATAATATCTTCACTGACATTTATCCAGCAGGCTTTCAAGTACTTAGCTAAAGCTTAGTTTATACTTTGACCTGATGCACATGAGCTGTGAAGCAAATTCTGTTCACTTTAATATGGGCTTTGGAGTTCTGGTAGGTTAAAATTCTTGTAAAATTTTTTCATTATTCCAGTAAGTAGCAAGAAACTGAAGATAGTGACAGACAGAGAGAGAAGGGTAAAGACCTGAACTTCCAGTGTCAATTCCCGTGACGTTTTCTGTGCTTCCCTCAATATCTCTAAAAATACACATCCAGATAATTCAGTCTTCCCAAAAATCAAAACATCAAAAATTCATGGACACTTTTGATAATTTACGCCATTCATATGTTGCTCTGTTGAACTGGAGAGATCAAGTTAATACATGGTTTCTCTTAGCCTGAGAGACACATAGATTTCATTTGTAAAAATGTTTATCATAGGTGTACCAGGAGAATGGGTCTGTCCATTACACCTAAGCAAATGTACATCGCAGGTAAAAGTGTCATCTCAGTGTTAGTGGTATGAAATTTGGAACCATGTTCCCACTAGGTAGTACAGAGAAAAGGCCAACTGAAAACTCTACTGAAGGACCAGCTGTGAGCATTATATCATTCTTGGTAGATGTGGCACTCCTGCGAGACTTAAGGATAGATCCACTACCAGGATCATGGAAGAACTAGTACGGGGCAAGACAGGATACTGTAATCAGTTTTTTTACAAAGAGAGGAAAAACCAGTTATCCACTTCTAGATAAGAGCTTTGCAGAAAGGGAGAGGAAAATATCTGGAGTGCCACAAGTAACTCAAGGATGTCTATTTCTTGTTGCACAAGGAAGCCCAATGAACAACACTTGTAGCATCAGTAGAAAAAGCAAGAATACCACAATGCTCTCTGCCTCATGTGCATGAACACATGCAGCCTATTTCCTTCTAGCATTTTTTACAGCCAGCATCTATATGAAAGCAGACTCCTCAAACAACAACGCACACCTAGATTTCCAGAGTTCATCTTACAAGGCAATTTTTTTCAGAGCCCATGAAAAAATATAAACAACCGTTCAATTTTCTCATTTGGTTAACCAAAAATATTTTATTAATTTGCCTACAGAAATTGAATAACACATCCCAACCAGTCCAAACAGTCCACAAAAAAATGTTTTTATTTCCATTTTTCAAAAGTTAAGTGAACACATTATTTAAAAAAAAATCTTTCTTCCCTGATCTGAGTCAAAGTCCATATTTTTAGAGACTCATTTTTTTTCTGAAAATAGATCTCCAACTCTTTTAGAAAATTTATCTTCTATTTTTAAATAATGGAACCAACACAGTTAGGGGAAAAAAGACAAGACCAACCTATAGATCATAATCCCTACTTATAGTTGAAGGCAATAAAATGATGCAAATTAATTTAATTTTTTTAAGGATGTAAAAGGCCTTGTAAATCCTCCATTTTAAATATTCTTGTAATGGTTTGAAAACAAACCAGTGAGAGACTCCAAGTCAGAAATACAATTTAATGAGAAAAAAAAAAATAAAAGCAATAATACAAAGGAAAACCACAAACAGAGTCAGAATACAACCTGACACTCTGTAGTTAGGGTGGTGGTAGCAGTCCAGATGAAACAGTGGTCTCGTAGAAAAGATCTGGTAGCTCTTGTCCTCTGGAAATCCAGTGGGTAAGGCCCCCTGTGCTGTCCTGAACCCCAGTTTATATCCAGGTGGGAGCACTTGGCTCCTCCCCCTGGGTGGAGCATCTCACAATGGGTTGATATCAGTCTATGAGTCATGCAGTGGGTCCTTGATGGTCCATTAAACAGAAATAGCTCCTGGGGGGAGTTCTGTATGAGTCATGGGGCGAGGCATGGATGGGCCCATTAACAGGGAGGACTCCTCCTGCTGGGTGGGAAGGGGTTAACATCTCCCCTGACCTTGAACCTCTTTCCTTATCTGTTATAGCCTGGGGTGTGAGGTCTGTCCTGGGCAGCTGCTACCCATGATTTTCTTAACAGCCCATGAGCACTGACATAGAGAGTATAGAATACACAGTTTTGGTTCTACCCACATAAGGATAAACTGGTCCCAGCCCCTGTAACCATGACAATTCTTTCCCTTCCTATGGAAGGGAAAGCCTCACATTCTCTTTCCTGTAGCACATTTTCCCTCTGTCGCTCCTGTCTCTTACTCCCTCAGCTTCCCTGTTGTCCTTTCACAAGTTTCCCTTTTCAGCAGACCTGCTGGTGGGCTCAGCAAACAGCTCTGTCCCTTCCGTGCCACACGAGGGCTTTGCTGTAGAGGCCAATGGAGCTTTTGGCTGTGAGCCAGCAATTAAATGTATATATCTTCAAATTAACAAAGGCATATGCATAGACTACATTTAAAATATATATTTAGAGTAAATCCAAAGCTCACTGTGATATTCACCCCAACTGCAGTTTTCCATCTGTGTGAGTGGCTAGCATTAGATGCTCTGTGGGAAGGCATGCCAAGCAGTAACAAATAGCAAGGATCATTGCAGAGCCTTGTGCATGCAGGGGACCTTCCTGGAATAGAAACTACCATCTTCACTTTCTCAGTATTTGCATTATGCTTTTTGTTTACTTATCAACACTACACGGTTGCTTGATACCAATTTTGTTGCCTCCAGAGAGCATACAGACTCAGCCTTGATTTACCCTTTTACAGAAGGAATGTGCAAAACGTCTTTCAGACTGCATAGAAATGTCTCTTACTGTTCTGAGGATGTAAGCAGTTTTGGCTGGCCTTCGGGGAAGGCCTCTCTGGCATGAGTAGACATATAAAGCCAGGAATGAGCTTAAACCAGAAACTCACATTTAACAGACCTCTAGGTGTGAGACACTCACTGCTTAAGAACTTCAGCCCTTTTTTCTTAGAGTATTATACAGTATAATCCTTTCCTGCATTGTTTTCTGCCCTCTGAATCACCCAAGCAGGTACAATTATGTAATATATTGAAGCCCACTTGAAAGAATGTAAGCACTCTCTGATGTGAAATCCAGGCTTCAACACTTCTTCTGAAAACAGTGAACAAGAAGCAAGATCCAGCTTAGGAATGACACTCAGTGTGACACTGTCTTCTCATCACTTGAGTCTTTTCCTTTGCTCTTCTGACTGGCCATAGATTTCCTCCTGAATTTCCAGCCAGGCCACATACAGGAGGTGGAACAATGGTTTCCCTTGAGTAGGATTTGGTAGGTGGTCAGGTTTCAATGACTGTGGTCCTTACTGCTGGGACTGTGTACAAAATACCTAGGCTGTCTGTGCCCCTGAGAACAAGCGTGAGCATACAGCTTCTCAGCACAATGCCTCAGGCGTACACAGCCAAAAGGAAGAAGAGCTGGTCTTCAGGCTTTTCTTCACTGAAAGTTATTGAGCTTTATTTCTACAAAGAGGACACACTTAAGAGGAGAATCTAAAATCTTCCTTTCAAATAAGTAATATCAAATATCCCTAAGAGCACACCCTCTGAGATGTGATCTGGCACAGGGTTTCCTACATGTGGGATCTGACTGATCCAAATTATGGATCACACCAAACACCTAAAATAAACTAAACACACAAGATGAGATAATTTCCAAGCAGTTTGCAGTGACCAAAATCTTTTTTAAAGGGGAAAAAACTTATTTTCTATTATTATTATCATCGTCATCATCTGGGCAGGCTGAATTGATAGACTGAGGTCAACTGCATGCGGTTCACCGAGGCCAAGTGCCGGGTCCTGCACTTGGGTCACAACAGCCCCAGGCAACACTACAGGCTTGGGAAGGAGTGGCTGGAAAGCTGCCTGACAGAAAAGGACCTCGGGGTACTGGTGGACAGCTGGCTGAACATGGGCCAGCAGTGTGCCCAGGTGGCCAAGAAGGCCAATGGCATCCTGGCCTGTATCAAAAAGAGTGTGACCAGCAGGATTGGGGAAGTGCTTGTATACTGTTTTCAGTTTTAGGCACCACAGTATAAGAAGGACATTGAGGTGCTGGGGCAGGTCCAGAGAAGGGCAACAAAACTGGTGAAGGATCTGGGAACATGTCTTCTGAGGAGTGGCTGAGGGAACTGGGGTTGTTCAGTCTGGAGGAGAGGAGACTGAGAGGTGACCTCATTGCTCTTTTCAACTACCCGAAAGGAGGTTGTAGTGAGGTGAGTGTTGGTCTCTTCTCCCAGGTGAGAGAGGTGGTGAGACAAGAGGAAACGGACTCAAGTTGCCCCAGGGCAGGTTTAGATTGGATGGTCAGAAAAATTTCTTTACTGCAAGAGTGGTGAGGCATTGGACCAGGCTGCCCAGGGAGACAGTGAAGTCACCATCCCTGGAGATGTTAAAAAAATGTGTAGACATGGACCTTCAGGACCTGGCTTAGTGGTCATGGTAGTGTTAGGTGATGGTTGGACTTGATGATCTTAGAGGTCTTTTCCAACCTTAATGATTCTATGATTCTAAGAGCGTTTTTAATACAAACAATACTCATGGAGTATCTCTTAGTCTTTCTGTATTCAGTTTGCAACTAGTATTTGAGAGACTTTTGATGTCCTGTTTGTGACAACCTACAAAGATCTTTTTTCAGTTGTTTACCCTTCCCTGTGATGTATAACAAGCACACTGTCAGCTCATGCAAGGCTATTACATGACAATATATAAATGAATATTACAAACCATCTAAGAAAATACAGATGTCATCACTGGTGCATTTCAGTCCATATTTCCAACCACTGAACACGATTGTATCAGTGGCCATCTGAAATGGTTGCATGTGGTATGGGAGAGTGTTTGTTGTTCTGTGTGGGAATTTTTCATTTGCTTGTGGTTAACACCTCCTCCGTTTAAATCATCGTTACAGGTATGAACTACTACCTGGCTGTCATACCCTTTCTGGGGGCAGTGGAGGCTGGTCTCTTTGGGCAGCTGCAGTATGAGATAGAAATATTGACACCAGAGGCGCAAAGAGATGATTTCTGTTATAGTGTTGTTGACTGCCGGTCTCGCATTCCCAAGCTCATGGATGAATGGAAGGCCTATTTTGAAGTAAATAATTATACTTTTTTTTATGTATATTTATATATATGGTTTGTAGGAAATGATATCGGAATATTACCTTTAAAAACTATTTTTACTTTTTATTTCTAAGATGCAGAGAACTTGGTTTGCTTTCAGTAACAATTTGATATAAAAGTAACAAGCAGAAAAGATGAAAAGCATAGCATAAAGTGAGTGAGAGAAGGTCAGGATTTTTACAGGTTATGGATTTTTTACTTCCTTTAAGATAATTATTTTGGAGTGTGTCCCAACAGACTTGTTAACAGTTATATTTGTATTTTTCCCATACTGCTTATGTTAGCAATGCAAAATAAGCATTCAAGATAGAACATTACCCTTAAGAAAAGGCCTTGCATTTGTTTTATAGTGTTCATTTATTTTTTTTAACATCTAAAAACTGAAAATGCTAAAGCTTCATTCAGAAGGACACTTATTTATATGAGTAGATATTCTCTCCTCTGCATTCAGCTGTTCTCTAATCCCAAAGATTACAACATTTCTTCCTATATCAGTAACTATTTTTATAAATAAAATTCTGTATTCAACATTTTTGTTGGTAGTCAATTAATTGATACTGATCAGAAAATTTAAACCATAAGTCCTTCTTGGCAACTGTGTGCAAAAGCAGAGGTTTTAGGAGCAAGACTGGATTTGTTTTCTTAAGATTATTTTTCCTAAGCAGTATGTTTCAGAAGTTATTATAAAAGTTCTAATCATCAGCTAGCCATTATGATAACTGTTAAGGATAATTTTCTTAAAAGAAATTTCAAAAGAAATTTCCCTTAGCTTGCAAACTTACTATTTTGTAAGGTATGAGCATAAATCTAAAAAAAAAATAAAAAAAAATTAAAAAAAAATTGGATTTAAACTTTCTACCTCTTTCTCTGCCTTTTTTTTCTCCCTGTTGCAGTATCTGTTATCTACAGAACATGAAGCTGGGAGCCCTGCAACGTTCTCCTTCAAACTGGATGATGCGCTCCACCTCATGTGGAATGCACATGTCAGCTCCATTGCTTGTGCGCTGCCCAAGTTCCAGGACAGGTACAGGGATGACAGAGGTGGCCAAGGGGAACCTTCCCACCTGCATGCCCCCTCGGAAGGAAAGTAACCCAAAAAAGTCCACAAGAGCTTTCTTACATTGGGCCTCTTCTCTTTAGGCTCTTCCTTCATCTTTCTCAGAGCATGGGATGACCAGTGAGAGATGGCTGCCCAGGCTGTGATGGGTGGGCAGGCTGTGGGCTTAAAAGAAGACACTGATTCCTTTCTGGGAGCCAGGGCTTGAAGGAGGAGTACCTGTGATTAGTCTGGACCAAGGCAGGGATGTCAGGAGAAATTTGGTATAAATTACTGAAGGAGGCTTTAAATCACCATGGCACTGAGACCACTCAGGATTTTATACTGAATAAACCACATTTGGGATAAATGATTGACTAGAGTGTCCTGCAGGGGATTTCAATTATCTGTTACACTTTTATTTTTATCTCTTTCAGCTTAAAATATTTTTCTGACCCAGAAGCAAATTTTAGTGAAGACTGGGCTAATGGTGTTGATTTCATTGCGGCCACACACTTCTCTACAGATCTACTGACCACAAATACCTTCCAGGCTTCCCTGCCCCAGAGGATGCTTATTGAAGGGGATGTCCCCCCATCCATTAGTGACTTCAGTCCACAGCAAAACAGAGTCCTGCTTTCACTGAGAGCTCTTCACAGAGCAAATCAACTGACAGGTACGAGCCTGACCTACAGATGTCTGTAGTCCATAGATGTTTAACATCTTGTTCTCTCTTTCTATACCTTTCTCCATATGAACACAGTGATTTTTGATATAAAATGGTATAAACACTTCCTAAAGAGACTAAAACGGTACAGCTAAAAAGATAACCAGAAGTAAAGAACACACCAGAGAGCAAATGCAGCGATGGGATATCACTGACTCTATGCAGTAAGGATTTCATGTGAGACAAATACATTGTTAGCTGGAGCAGATGATCTTACTTTTATTTTCCTCCAGTTTTCACAGGTAATTTAAACCCACAGATTCTAGTTTGTGTTTCACCGGTTAAATCTGAAACAATTAATGCTGTAAATAAAGTTTTAGCTCAGTTGAAGTAATTAAAAAAATGAGCAAATGATCATGAACAACGGTTTGTGTGTCCACAAGTGTCCTGGTTTTGGTTTTGTCTCAGTCTTTAGCTTAACAGAGAATATCATTTGTCCCAGCAGTACTGTATCCTTAGACAATGCTGCCTTCATCACGTTCACTAAAATAAGTTGTGCATCACCATCCAGCGGTGAGACACGAAATTACACTCTTCTGAAGCTTCAGTTCATATGTACGTATGGCTGGATATTTTTGTTTGTCCTCTATGAAGAAAGTTATTTTGAATCTTTAAAAGAAAATACGATATAAAAAATGCACTGAAAAACTAGTATCCAGACATATGGCATTTGTTTTGTGATCCTCTTCTTCTGTTCATACATTCCAGTGAAAATTCTCTCACTTCTTGCATTTGTAGCTGAAAAAAAGACATGTAATGAAGGTATTCAGTGTTTCAAAAGAGCATCCTCACATCACAGAGTGCTTCCCTCACACCTTCCACATAGCATTATTCCTCAAAGTCCAAATAAGGTTCTTAACAGCTCTGTCCCATGCCTGGTAGTCTATGACACAGCTCAGGGTTTCTTGACCCCTCCAGGAGGGGAGGGAGGCACAATAAGGAAAAGCATGACCAGTAGCACAGCAAGCAAGGACCAGAGAGAGCACTGCCAGGGTGGCAGAGAAGCTGAGGGCAGTACTGCAGGGAGAGAAGAAAAAAAAGCATGGATGTTAAACACGGTAGAGAGAAGGAAAGAGAGGGATGAAAAAGTTTCAGGCCGAGCCCTCTTAGAACTAAAACTAGCATAGGAAGTAACTTCTTCAAATGTATCAGTAGTAAAAGGACCAATAGGGGAAGTGTGGGCCCGCTGCCGAATGAGGTGGCAGCCCTGATCACTGAGGATGCAGAGGAGGCAGAGCTGCTGAATGCCTTCTTCACTTCAGTCTTTAATCCTGAGGCCAGCCCTTGTGAACTCCAGACCCTAGGTGCGAGAGAGAAAGCCTGGAGGAAGGAAGACTCTCTGCTAGTCAATGGAGGCTGGGTTAGTGGTCAGTTAAGGAAACTGAATACGCGTAAGTCCATGGGCCCTGATGAGATGCACCCAAGAGTATTGAGAGAACTGGCTGATGTTGTCACTCTACCACTCTCTATCATTTTCACTAGATGATGGCAAATGGGAGAGGTGCCTGAGGACTGAAGGAAAGCCAATGTCTCTCCAGTCTTCAAAAAGGGCAAGAAGGAAGATCTAGGCAACTACAGACCAGTTAGCCTCACCTCCATCCAAGGAAAAATGATGGAGCGGCTCATTCTGTGTGTCATCTCTAAGCACATGGATGAGAAGAAGGTTATCAGGACTAGTCAGCATGGATTTACCAAGGGGAAATCATGCTTGACTACTCTGATAGCATTCTACAGTGTGGTGACTGAATGGGTAGGGATGCAGGGAGACCGGCTGATGTTGTCTACCTTGACCTTAGCA